CTGGCCAGTCAACGCAGTCAAACATGAGATCCAAGTCAGGAACTTGACCCGGGTACCTTCTTAGCAGCTGTAAAATCCCCCATAGAGTAAAAGTGTCTCTACTTTGAAATGCTTTTTGATAGGTCTCCACATAAGCTGTTCCGTTGAGTATTACCAGTCGAAAATTGGCCGTCTTGGAAGCCGTCTTCACCATGGCTCTTGTAATCCCAGTCTCCCTCCAGGGCCATAGATCTTCATGGATCCAACGGAAGTAGTCCGGACACGTCAGCTGTGTTGTGGTTGAAGCGGGGTGAGGGTTTGGTTTTGAAAATTTTGATGGGTAGTAATTGGGCGGGCACGTCCGGGTAGCGTCACCCAGTGAACAATTCAGCGGGATTTCAAGTTTATGTCTATGGTTTTTGGGGTTTACGGGGATGGTGGCAAAACTTGATTTCTTTGGGGAATTTACAGAGAGTGACTGCCAATAGTGAAATCGAGTATGAGATGGTAGTAGCAAGTGAATAAAACAAACATTGAGAGAAATCCTACTCCACGTCAAAACAATTCAAAAAACAGAACTAGAAAATGGGAAAAACAGACACCGGAAGAAGAAACCAAGACTATAAGTGAAATGGAAAAAAAAAAAAAGATCAACAGTATATTATCACATTAATGAATAACTTATCATTTATTTTTTTGGAGCAAATTTTATCTAAAAAAATTTAATGCACGTTCGCCAAGTTGAATGCTAAATTGAATTATCAAACCACGAGTATATTTGAATATATATCACTAAAAAGTTCATCAATTATTTCATGAAACAAATTTTATTTAGGAAGTTTAGTATCATTTAATATATTCATATGTTCTTGTTTTATTATCAAACATGTCTGAATTAAGATCTGGATTCTTATAGATTAAGTTTAAGTGACGAAATAGGATATGAAACAGGACCTTAATCTCAAAATTTGCAATATTCAAATGCAACCATGAAAATATGAATAACTTACCTCTTTCACAACTATAACTTAAAAAAAAAAAAAAAAAAAAACCTGCATACCGTATTTACTTTGTTATCAGTTCAATGCGTTAACTTCTCTTTAACCAAAAAAATAAAAATAAAAATTGTGATGAATTAGCACCGCAAAAAGGTTTTTACAGTTTTACTGTCCAATAAATTGTACGGAAAATAAAAAAGTAAAAAACTCTAGGTACAGTAATAAATACGAGTACGATGCAACAAATTCCAAAAATTTTCAAGTTATTCTTGCAGGGTGATAGGCGTCAGAGACAGATGAGCACAATGTACTCTGCGGCAGTGAATTATAGTACTTCAGTAGCAGAAGACTAGAAATCTGACGGCTTGTCAATTGTGATACTTACTGTAGCAGAAGCACTAGAAATCTGTTAAAAGTACTTACAGTAGCAGAAGAATCCAGGAAACGCGTCGAGAAGAAGGCTCCGATGCACAGAAGAATCAAGAAAAATATCGCCAGAGACGATCTGGCTACAGTGTTCTTAGCTAGCAGTCTTGGAAGCCCGATCTTCTCAGCGGAATGCCTATACTGCCCTGATCCGTTCAGCATACTCTGCACTTGCTCCCTCATCCTTTACCACCTCAGTTTTATCTCAGCAACCTCTCAGCCGGCAAAACTTCTCCCGTCCTCTTGCCCTTTTTAAGCTGCTTAGCTGAATATATTTGCCTTGCTAGCCACCAATCGAAGAAAAATTTGCAATGGTTTTTTGAGATTAGCGTGAAACAAAAGGGAAAAAAGAAGACTTTGAATTTGAGATGCAGCTTTACACCGACACTGGCCCAGAAGGCAAAAAAGTGATAAGAAAAGAATTACTAGTATATGATGAAGGATGATGCTGCCCAGCCAATTGCCTAACTCTGTGGTTTCTTTACCAGGCCAACCCTCTAAGTAACTGTACAGCGGAGAAGAGAAAACAGTAGAAGACGAGAGAAGTATTGATCAAAAAAATTGCCGTTTGGAAACTCTAGGGATTAGAGAGGATTAAGCAAAAAAAAAAAAAAAGGATGCGTTTTGGCGAAAGTTCTCGAGGGTAGCTTAGAAAAACAACACGGGACCCAAAACGTGACGTAGTGCGAGTCTCGTGATTCCTGGCGACTTTGATTTTTCTCACATCAACAATCAAAGCCGAATTTGGGTTTGGGGTTGCCATTCCACGTCAGTTCTGGGAGGTTTGAGTGTGGGTTTATAAGTCCTCGAAAGGACTTTAAGAGTTACCGATTTTTTAAATTTTTTCTGGATTTAGATTTATAAAAGCTTATAGGATTTATAATACTACTAATTTACTACTCCTATTATTTGTATATTTTATCCATTCATTAAAGTAGTGTCCGTTGAGATCCTAAGGACTAGTTTATTAATACTTTGCTAAATTGTGTGTTTCTCCGAATTTTTATAAATTTTACCCGAGATTATTTGGAAGATACCAAATTTGTTACCCGAGATTAAACTACACTCTATTGCAGTACAGAAAGTTGTCTTTTTTATTGGGGGAGGTAAAGATCATCTATCTAAATGTCTACAAAAGCGAATAATTTTGGATTGTCCATTATTTTATTTTATTTACATCTTATTTACACACACAGAATTGCTTGTATTATTAACACATTTCCTAATCACTTTTTTATTTCACATACATTATATCAAAAAAATGGTACAATATTTTTTTATAAAATTATTTTAAATAATTTACAATCCAAACACACCCGCAACTATTTCGAACAGTAGTGTACCGAAAAAATATCACCTGAACAAATTTTCTACTCAACCTAGACTTATAACAGGATTTGAATCCTCTATTTGACTTGTTCAAAAAAAAAAAAAATCATCTATTTGACCATGGATAAGCTGCTTCTCACGGAACTAGTGTACTTGCATCATTGTATGTTAACACTAGAAAATTGTTCATCAGAATCTATTAATAATGCTAACTCACCGGGTGGGTATGACGTGTGCTCTGGAAAGGAACGGAGTTTCTTAACGCCGACGAAACGACTTACCGGACGTGGCCTTTGTTCCTGTTCACCTTGCCTATCGCTGGAATCGTTTAAACTAGTATTTTAAAACATATAGTAGTAGTATTTTAAAACAATCTCCCGGAGAGAAGATGAACAGCTGTAATATGTACTGAGAATAACTATCGACACTGTTGAAAGTGTTTAACAGCTTTAATGACCAGATGTTAGTCCCGTAATGGGGTAATTATTACCAAACACATTATTGAAGATTTTCCATATTCACCAAATCTGACTCATTTATTGATCTGTCAGAGATGGAGGCAAGACAAAAATTATGGGACCCATTTTTTGAATTTGGTGTCTACAAGACTATTGGGCAAAAAAATAAAAAATAGATAAAGGAAAGCGAGCCAAGACCAAGAGGCAACAAGTGTGGGTGGGATGACTTGTGATTGGTGTAATTGGTCTTTGGTGTGATAGTCATCAAGAGCAGAGCGTCTTATAATTCTTTGGCACATGATGAGGTTTAAATCTCGTCTGATGCATTAAAAGAAAGCATAATGAAGCGTATTTAAAATATTATTTAAAATAATTAATTTAACATTTTTTATAATGTAATATATATATAAAATAAAAAATAAATTAAAAATGTATTTCAGATGATATTTTGCAAACAAGGTAAATCTCCACTTGTCTGATTTCGAGACAACTCTAAAAAAAGAAGTTATGACTGGTGTGAGCAACTGTTAAAAAAAAAAATCAGAAATCAAACTTAAACAAGAGAAGTATAAAATGGTAAAGGCAGAAAGTGTGAATGCAAAAGGTCAATGTGACTTGGAGCCGGAAACGAAGAATGTTTTCTTTTTTTTTTAACAAGAAAATTCGTAACTACTATCTAAGAGTGTATCCTGAATAAATTTTGTTTCGTATAATAATCTACTAATCACAATGGGGGATTTTGCACTTGATGTATCAGGAGAGATTCGTATTTAAATTAGTAAAAAAAGTGACACCAACTCCCTCCGAGCAAAGCGAAACTATTATTAGAAACGTATTATTGGTGCTTCGTGGAGACGGCTGTCAAAAGCTCGTGACAAGTGGAGATTGATTGTAGGCTGGGTGGGGAATCCCGGATGCACGTTTTGATAGACAGCAAAGTATGTACATATAGGAGCAGTACGAGTATAGAGTAAATGTAAAGATGGCCCCTCTACCGTGTAGGCGCTTATTCTTTCTATCAATATAAAATTGAACAGTTTTGCTCAAAAAATAAAATGAAAAGAGCAAAGTGAAACTACGGCAATAAAATTTTAAAAGGTTACATTCGAGTGGCCTTCCAATTCCCACAGTCTTTGTTGGAGTCCCCACGAGCTAGGTCAACTAACGTTAAAAAAATATATACTAACTAATTAGATTCAACCACCGCTGCCAAAGCATTAAAGCTTGGTGCGGTGGAAGGTCAAGGGTTCAAACTTTATCTCCCATTAATTGTCACTTTAAGTGGCTCTGTTTAATAAATCTAGACGAGTATATAGTGCATTCGTCTGATCCGGTAATAGTTTAGTTTCTTTTAAATTACCTTTGTGTCTCTTCAGATCATCTCCTCTTAGTATAAGATAAAATAGGTTATATAACAGTTATCATCTCAAAAAAAAAAAAGTTAGATTCATTTATATCTTGTATGTTTTAAACACTATCCCAAAATTAACAAAAAAAAGTGAAAAAATTATATCGCATCAAAAAGAATAGAAGATTTTTTTTATCATATATTTTGCACTTTGCACAATTTCTCTTTTAATTTAAATAGAAGCACTTCTTCTGTGTTGCAAAGAAAAAAATGATAAAAGAAATATGTTTGCTCATTGTTTTCCCGTATTTGATTTAATCACTAAATAGCGTACAATTTGCTTTGGAACCTTTCATTTCATTTTCCTCGTTTAATTATGGCAATTTTTACACTATAAATCTGCATTTTCCCTCGTTGAACCTTTCATTTTTCACTTTGACTGAAAATAGCGTACGGGAGAACTACCAAAAGAGATACTGCAGACTTGAAATTCTGAGACCTCGACGGGACTACGACTACACAAAAATAATAATGTATGTTCCGAGTAACTATTCCTCCAGAATATTGCCACGACTACATAAAAATAATAAAATATGTTCCAAGTAACTATTCCTCCAGAACATCGCCTGCTCTTTCAGCTTCAGCTGCTGGATCTTGGACGCAATCACCTGAGAGGATGTACCTCCATTGTTGGAAATCTCAGTTGGCAAGGTCAGCATGGAAGAATCTGTAAGTGAATGTGCTGCTGCCATTGATTTCCAAAGCCAAGTTGTGAGCATGTTGCAGGTAGGACTTGGAGCGGACCGAGAATGTTATAGTTTGCACTTGCACAAGGATCTTTTGATCTGTCTCAACCCTCAATTTGTCCAGCAACTATCCGACAGGAAGGATCCAAGATCTTGCAGGCTCACACATTTCTATCTTTTTTGTTTCTGAAAGGCAATATGTGAATAAAGAGAATAAGGACATCCATATCTCTGTCTGCACTTTATGTATGAGATCAAGAATTGGCTATCTAGCGTTCCATCGTAATTAAGATCCATCTCTGTGGAGAGCTGAATGAACAAAGAAACCTGGTTCCCTTTGTGATGCACATCTTTTGCTATAAGTCTGAAAATACACACCTTTTTCAGTGTCATGCTCATTTTTGTAAACGAACAGGATGAAAAGAAGATATAATCTACTCCTAAACATGCTCACTTCTTTGATCCCAGTAATGTCGTTCCCATGTCTCTACTTGCTTTATCGAGTTTCGCTTTCTGTCAATAATAGAATGAAGAGTTGCAGGGTCATAAGGAGGCGGCATGACGCAAGGAGTTTCACTGCTAGGACCTCTAACTGTGGAATCCATCATGAACTTCTTCTCCTGACCTTGAGCAGGGCAAGCCATCGATTCAGAACAAAGTTCAATTGCTTTTGGAGGGACGCTAGGCTTGTATTTTAGAAGCTTCGCATACTCACGCAAGAGATGAAACATGTAATCATAGACAAAGTCCATTTTCAGCTCGTCTTGAACAAAATTACTTGCTGCCTTGCCAATGGCTTGCGCCTGTTATATACATCAACCAAAAATAGTATCAATATATCTGCTCAAGAGCCCTTTTTTTCCCCTAGCAGAGAAGTGGGATTTAAGAAGAGGGGGAGGGGCATGGGAATTAGAATCCAAGACGTCTAATTCCTGGGGCCTCAACATTAGCCAACTGACAAGCTTGTTATCATGACGTTTTTATTATATAGAGATGCAACACTGGCACAAAGCACACAAGTTTCGAAACCATTAACTTAAAATTCTTCCCATTAGGTGAAGAAAGAAATGACAGATTATTTATCCTCACTGACAGATTCAAGCAAAACTGCCAATTAGATAAAAATTCTGAGAGTTATGTATCAAGATGTCAAATCTGCAAAGAGGTTAACCCCTGATTTCAGATGATGATAAATCTCCAAAGAGATTAACCCCTGATTGATCAATCAAAGTGCAGCAGAATCTGAAGCCAACGATTAATACTTTCCTGCCATATAAGCAATGATCAACCAAGTCGTAGTCTGAATATTGCAAATAATATGGATCAAGAAATTACCTTTTCTATTTTGTTATTTCCCCAGTCAACAGCATGCTTTATAGCTCTGCACTTGTTATCCTCCCTTATGGGCCAGTAGTGTTGCAAAGGCATCAAACCTCTAGTGAAGAAATCATAATATTGTGGCGTCACTAGCAAAGTTACAGAATCACAGGCCAATATGTATTTCTCACTGACCGACCAAGCAGATCCTTCTATGTAGATTTTATATCTGTACAATTCAAACAAGGAAGGAATGAATTCAATTCTGGATGAAGTGAGCACAAAGAAACGTACGAAGATACTAGAGATGCATATATGCGTCAAGCGCGGGCCAACTACACAAGTAATATCCAGAAAGGACGAAAGGAAGAGGCATCACAATAGAAGACATGGAATTTGGGAAATGACAAAAAAAAGCAACAAATTTCCAGGTCAAGAAGGAGACATAATTTAAACTAGTTACTCTCATATACCTGTGGATGCATTGGCTTGCCAAGTCGGACTTTTTGTAACCTTGCTGCTGTTCCCGACCCCAGTCCTGTGAATGTGGAGAAATGCCAAAAAGCTTTTAATAACTAACTAGTGCTAAGTACAAACTGCCTCCAGTCTTTACTATAATGCGATCTATCTCATCACCTAAATAAAAGCATATTTATGGCTACATAATACTCCAATAGTTGTTGCCACGTATGTAAAATCGTGGTTATTACCTGAGCATAAATACGAGCATTCCAATCCTGTTGGTCTGAAATGTTACACTTGAGCAAGTCCATCCTCTTTTCTGCAACTTGAGGGTTGCCCTTCCAGTAAGCATACGGCTCCCTATCCACCCATCTACTCCTCTCATTCCCTTCTTTCAGATCCTTAGACAGAGCCTCCCAAGGCTTAATATTGATTTCAGGCCTGAAAATAAATCGTTCCATTAAGAGGAGAAAAATAAAATCTGTCAAACAACCCCAGAATGAATAAATAAATAAAATAAATAAACGAAGTCCGTACCAACCCCAGAATGACCAATCGGGAAAAACAATGTCCAACGTGGTATCGTTAGCGCAGTAGCGGAACAAAGGCGGCGGGGCCGTGGCGTTGGCCCCAGAGTGAGAATCTTTATTGATGACGGGCCAGTCAACGCAGTCAAACATGAGGTCCAAATCAGGGACTTGGCCCGGGTACCTCCTTAGCAGCTGTAAAATCCCCCACAGAGTAAAAGTGTCTCTGGTTTGGAATGCTTTCTCATAGGTCTCCACGAACGCCGTTCCATTCACTATTACCAGTCGGAAATTGGCCGTCCTGTTGGCCATGTTCACCATGGCTTCTGTAATCCCGGTCTCCTTCCAGGGCGATAGATCTTCGTGGATCCAACGGAAGAAGTCCGGACACATGGGCTGCGTTGCTGCTGATGGAGGGTCAGGATTCCGTGCTGAATACCGTGGTGGATAGTAATTGGCTGGGCAGGTCAGGGTAGCATCACCTAGTGAACAATTGAGCGGGATTTCGACTTGTTTATTCCCGGGTTGATTATGTGATGTTATGGCGGAAAAAGTTGATTTCTTTAGGGAATTTATGGAGAGTGACTGCAAGTTGTGAAATTGAGTATGAGATACTGGTACATAACGCGCGCAGCATCAAGAACACAAACTATGAGAAGTGCTGAGGAGGGAGGTCTAGTACTTACAATAACAGAAGAATCCAGCACACGCGTAGAGAAGAAGGCCCCGATGCATAGAAGAATCAAGAGAAATATCCCTATAGTGTTCTTAGCTAGCACCTTTGGAAGCCAAATCTTCTCCCAGGAAGGCCTATGTACCCCTGATCCATTCAGCATGCTTTGCCCTTGCTCCCTCATCTTTACCTCCCTCCTTTAGTTTATGCCACTGCAACCTTTCAGCTTCCAAACCTTCTGCCAGGTTACTTTAACAACCTAGCTGCTTAGCTGAAAAGAGTTTTGTTGACCACCAAAAGCCAATAACAATTCTGCAGCGGTTTTCTGTGTTTAGCTGGAAAAAAAAGGGGAAAAGGAAAAGAAGAAAACGATAAGCAGCAGATACACAGACACTAGCCAGAAAGAAAAAGATCTGCTGCTATCAAAGAGGATTAAGCGGGAAGGATTGCTTCGATTGAGTGAGTAATGCGCCTCCGGAACTGAGGCGTGCAATCGAATTTTGGGGATTTCTGTTAATGTCCATTACAGATTAAACAGTCTTTGTCCAAATTCTAAAAGATTCATTATCTAGATAACCAACTTGTTCTAGAATTATTATGGAATGTTACTACATTTTTGAATCAGAAATTCATATGAATTTGTTTAGCATCCAGAAAGTACAAAAGAATGAACGACAGCGCAGAGAATTACACGAGTGTTTAAAGCATTTATTTAGAGTCCTCTAATGTCTGTAATGGAAAATTTTCGAAATGTGCCATCTCTAATGAGCTGAAAATATAAATGCTAATCTATAAACTCCACCTGTTTTCTACTCAAACCCGGCCTCTTTAACATTTCCATCCTCTATTTTACCATGGCTAAAAACTGCATTACTTGCATCGTTGATAGTTAACAATAATAAATTGGTTACCGAAATCTACTCATGCTAATTCACCGAGTATGGCCTCTGTGCTGGAAAGCGATGGAGTTTATTAATAATAGAAACTGACTTACTGGATATGGCCTTTACTCCTGTTCCCCTTCCTCGCTGCTGGAATAGAGAGTCTGTTGCTAACGATCTCCCGGAAAGAGGCTGATTAGCTGCATATGTGAATGGAAGAACTATGAATGCGTAATTGTTGCTTTAATGACCAGATGTTCATTATGTAATGGAGTAGCATTTACCAAACATAGAAGACTTTCCTATTGACAAAATCTCCCACCCTATTTATTAGTCAAGCGAGAGACGGAGTTGAGACGAAATATGTGGGACAAAGACTTTCGTGTCGACACCAGACTTTTGTATTAACCCTGACTCTGTTTGGATCTCCTGTTTTTGGAGTGTTTTTTAAAAATTAATTTTTCAAATACAATAAAAGTTACAACAAAGTACTCTAAAAGATAATCTAAAAATTAGTTTAAATTTTTTTAAAATTTTACCAAATATCTCATAATAAAGTGCCAATAAAAAATATTTCAAAATATTTTCTAAAAATATTTGCTACAGCAAAGTTTTTCAAAAACACCCCCAAAAACAGTTAATCCAATAAACTGTTTGGATTAGCTATTTGTGGATGCGTTTTTGAAAAACTTTACTGTAGCAGTGTATATGAAAAAAAAAATTGAATTGTTTTAATTTGTGTATTACTGTAGTATTGTATTTGAAAAAAATTATTTTTGAAAAACAAATGGATAATAAATAAAAAGAAAAATTGTACTATCTATTTCTTCTTGTATATTTGATGATATATCATGTAGACTTGATCATATGTTTTGTAAACCTAATAAAAAGATGTTGTAAGCTTAACATTGTAGACTAATAGAAAGAATAGAACAAGGAAATGAATTCTTTTCTTATTTCATCGGACCCCTCTCGGTGGGTTCAATTATGTGGAAATGAGACTTCAAAGCCTTCCACCCAAAGGGGATAACGTGTACAATTAATTATTAAGGAATGAAATTTAAGTCTCATGAGTGTGTCAATAAGTCATTGGAAGAGATCAATGCACTAATGAATGTAGAAGGATATGAATTGATCGAATGCAACTTAAAGGGATGCATAAACATCCACGTTTCATTGATTTCATAACATTGTCTAATTGTTTTTTCTTTTTATTTTAGAGAGACTTTTTTTTTTATACAAAGTAAAATGATTTACACGCTGAAGTCTTTTTTTAAAAAAAAAATTACGTTGACACCTTGAAGTCTACTTATTCTTTTAAAAAAAGAAAAAAAAATGATTAAAAGTGAGATTTCAGTACTTCCTTAAATAGTTTGAACTCCTAACTTATTGATCCGTGATATAAACATCTTACTAACTAAACTATATATGTCATTGTCCACCTTAGCGAAAATTCAGAAAGTTGCGAGGCCCAACCAAAGTTACTAGTGGGCCTTCCAAATTCAATTGGTTGATAATTAATGATGAAAATTAAGTAATTAAAATATTCCTGGTTCAATTCTTAATCCCTTCTTTATAACATTTAGAGCCTCTATTGAATTTGGAAAAGCTAATAACTGAGATCGCATATTATGTAAATGAATAAGAATCTTTTGTTTTTTTTGAACTCTCAAACCCTCCCTTGTCTCATGTATTTTATCTCTTGGAGAGAGAGAGAGGAGGGGGAGGGGAGAGAATTTCAATCACATGGAAAAGAAGGTAAGAGGATTTTTGCGCAATTTTTTTCCTTATAGAATCACTTTTTCTATGTCGAAAGAAGAAGGAAAAAGAAGAAGAAGAAGAAGCTGCTTGCTCATTCTTTTTCAATATTTGATCTAATTGGGGTACAATTTACCGTAGAAACCTTCAGTTTTGGTTTCCTTCCTTTGATTTAAGGCAATTTTTAACACCATGACAGTACAAATGTACATTTATTTTTCGCTGTGCTCTCTATTTGCTTATAACAAACAATAAATTGGACTCAGAAAACACGGTAATCCATACCTAAGGATGCTTCCTTTCACCATCCCCGTGTTGTTTTTCCCATTCTTCTACTAGCTGTATTGAGTTCTGTTTTTCCTCTAGAATAGAATGAAGAGCTGCAGGATCATACGGAGGAGGCATGGTGCATGGAGCCTCACTGCTGGGACCTCCAACCATCGACTCCATCATAAACTTCTTCTCTAATGCCTGTGCGGGGCAAGCCATCGACTCCGAGCAAAGTTCAATCGCTTTTGGAGGAATACTTGGCTTATATTTCAGAAGCTTAGCGTACTGGCTTAGGAGATGAAACATGTAATCATAAACATAATCCATTTTCAGTTCCTCTTGAACGAAACTGCTCCCAGCCTTGCCTATTTCCTCTGCCTGTGATATCAATCAAGTAAAAACGAATTCTTTTTTTAGGCGTAAATACAAATAGAATTAACTGTGTCTCGTCGAGGTTTGGTTGGCACTTGGCAGAACAAGAACATGCATGCATTGAAGATTTGGAATGCAACCATGAGATGCAGGAGACAACTTTCAAAGCCATGAATGCAAACATTCGACCGTCTTTATTAAAACTAAGCTTCCATCAAATATTGGGTTGAATTTAGTTGTCAAGTTGATGAATGAATCACCTGTTTTTCATTGTCATTGCCCCATTCAACAGCATGCTTAATGGATCTGCACTTGTCATCGGCTCTTATAGGCCAGTAGTGCTGCAGGGGCATCAAACCTCTCGAGAAGAACTCGTAGTATTGTGGCTTCACTAGTAAGGTTACAGAATCACAGGCCAAAATGTTTTTCTGACTGACCGACCAAGCGGATCCTTCAATATAGATTTTATACCTGTATGGTTCACAGGGTGAGGGATTTACAATGAAGTTATCACAAAGAAGCATATAGCATCATCATCAAGGCACATAGGAAGAGGAAAGGAGCAACAATTGAATAAATTGCCTAGAAAGCGAGCAGAGTATGATAGAACCATGCCTGTGGACGCATTGGTCTGCCAAGACAGATTCTTTGTAACCTTGTTCTTGTTCTTTATTCCAGTCCTGCGAAAGTGATCATGAAAATCTACAGTGTGTTAATTTAACGTAGTCATCGGTTTCCACCATAATCAATCACTAAAACAAGTGAGGTTAGTTTTTGAAACGTTGGCCAGCGATTAGAGGAGAGAACGACACCGAAAATATACTCGTATAGGGAATTCACCGCGATTGTAAGAGCTTATAAAGGCTACTATTACTTTGATCATGCTTTTGGTTAATAATAATAACATTCCAAATCAAGTGAGAGTTTATTATGAAGCCTGTTACCTGAACGTAAAGACGAGCGTTCCAGTCCTCTTTGTCAGAAACATTGCATTTGAGCAAATCCACCCTGCCTTCCGCAACATGAGGGTTGCCCTTCCAATAAGCGTATGGCTTCCTATCCTTCCATTTACTCCTCTTGTTCCCATCTTTCATTTCCTTCAACAAAGGCGCCCATGGCCTTGTATCGATTTCTGCCCTGAAATATGTTGTCCAAAACGAAAGAATTTTTTTAAAGAGAGAGAGAGAGAGAGAGCTAAATTCTTTGCATAAATTTAAGTTGCAAGTCTACTGCAACTTCTAAACTCGGATTAGACATTTGTACCATCCCCAGAACGACCAATCCGGGAAAACGATATCCAAGGTGGCATCATCCTTGCAATAGCGGAACACTGGCGGCGGGGGCGGGGCATCGGGGCCACGTTGGAATTCCTTCCTCACAACTGGAGAGTCATCGCAGTCAAACATTAGATCCAAATCAGGGATTTTACCAGGATACCTCCGTAACAACTGTAATATTCCCCACTGACTGAATACATCCCTAGTCTGAAACGATCTGTCAAAAGTCTCCAAATAGGCCGTCCCGTTAACTACAACAAATCGGAAATTGGCTGTCCTCCCAGCCATCCTCACCATTTCTTCTGTAATCCCTGTCTCTCTCCATGGCGATAGATCTTCGTGGATCCAACGAAAGTAATCTGGACACATAGACTGCGGTGTTGATGATGAAGGGTCAGGGTTTTGTAACATAAACTTGGATGGGTAGTAACTGCCTAGGCAGATCCGAGTTTCGTCACCAAGTGAACAATTCAGCTGGAATTCTAGTTTGTTAGACTGGTTCAGGGGTTCTTCCGGTGTCTTAGATGTTTTGGCGGAAAATGTTGATCCTTGTCGGGAACTTCCGGGAATCAGCTGCAGATTGAGCAAGAAATACAAGTAGGGAGCCATGATTAGATTAAATTGCTGAATATGGAGATTAGTATTCCATTTCAATCGTCCGAGTACATGAGCAATCAACTAGAATTACTGTTGATTTCCTTCCAAACCCAAAAGACGGCCTCGTCCCTCGGTTCAGCGCTGATCAAGACGCAACTTTGGCATGTTACAATTAGACGCAACTTTGATGTCTTTATGAAGCCAAAATCGGCTCCAGGAACAACTTTCCTGTGATTGATTTATCTTGCATGTTAAACCTCACGTCAATTGCTTTTTTTAAAAAAAAAATTATTTGGACCCAATAACTCGCCTGATGTGATCTGAATTCTGTAGTTGATGGACTGAAATGTAAATATTCGTGGAATGCGAGCTAACAACAAAGTGGTACGCTATTAACGAGTCTACCTGCGTTTTAGCTCACTTATTAAGATGAGTCTCGGATTTAGAATAAGCAATCGCT